CCCCAAAACCCCAAAACCCCTCTCTCAATTATTTAAATTAGATTACTGAAACTTAAGAAATCAAAATTTAGTTTAAAAAATCTTATTTGTTATATATTAGAAAAGTTCACTCAAAATCCTCGTCATAGTCATCATCAGCTGGTTTAAGCTTTTTGCTATCACTTATTTCTGATTTATCTTTTGCTTCTATTGTTTTTTTCTTGCTGTCCTCTTCATTTTTATTTAATTTTTCTTCTATGATAGTCTTATCAAAGGATGAGCCTTAATTTTCGGAGGTAATTGTAATTTTAGATGGCTATTTCTTCTCCTCTTCAGAAATCTTCACTTAAGCCTAGATCACTATCGCAGGTGGCTGAGAAAATGGCTCCTCTTTATTATTACTTAAGGCTGCCTCAATCATAGTTTTGAGATTTTTAATACCTGATTCAGGATCATTTAAGTTTATATTAACGATTTTTTATGCTAAGCCATTTGCTCTTGCAAATAAGAATACTTTATGATTAAATGCGCATTCTTTCCCATCAAATGACAGGTTAAGGAGAATTAAACCAGAATTCTTTGTTCCTTTGGTAGCCTGAGTTTGAACTAAAGGTAACCACTGAGTTTTAATATTATTAAGTGTGGACTCATTGTCCGAGTTAAAAGCCATAATAATACAACTTGCTTCCTTGATTAAAATAGTATTTTCCTTTAGTTAACTTAATTACCCTGAGGTATCAACAATTTAGAATTTATCCATTATATTGTAGAAGTATGTGGCGATAGTCTCCTTAATTTTTATAAGTTTTTAGATGTTTTAACTCATTTGACAGACCAATGATGATTTCCCAACTCCTGAGTCACCCAAAATTAGACATTTCCTTAAATTAGAATATGAGACCTTACTATGAGAGGACTAATCTATCGCCAATTCTTCAATCCTTTTTTTCTTTATCTCTTCTTCTTATAATAATTTCTATTTTAATTCTTCCTCCTCTTATTTCTATTTTATTTAAATCTATTCTTCTTCGAACTTTTTCTTTGCCAAATCATCTTCTTATTTCTTTTTACTTAGAAGTTCTTATGCCTTTTGCCTAATTTCATCTTCCTTTAAGATTCTTTCTTCATCATCCATCTCTTGCAATTTCATTTCCTCTTCTTTTTTCATTTAAGCGGGTTCTGCCTTCTTTACATCTTCTTTCTTTGATTATGGCTATTAATCCTTTTTAATTGAGATGATATCTTCTATTTCTAAAACTTTATTTTGGGGTTTAATCATTTCTTTTGGAATATCTTCCTTTTTCTTTTCCTCAGGTTGTTTGAAGTTTATTTTTTGAGGTTTGATCATTTCAATTTATTTCTTTTCCTCTTAGCTTAATACTATTACTTTAGGCTTAGTGCTAATTAATTCTTTTTCCTCTTCATCATCATCAGGTTTCAATTGAGGCTTTGGCTTTGTTTTTACAATTAGATCATCCTTATCCCAATCATCATCCTAGGCTATTGCTTCTTACAACGCTTTGTCATGAGTTTTAGACTCTTCGAGTATCTTAGAAGCAGATCCTGAAGATTAAGAACTTTTACTTTCACTTGTAATTTCACGTGGCCTAATAATATCCTCCCTCCTTTTCTTTTGCTTGATAAGAGTGCTTACAACTTTATCAATTTCAATCAACTTCGTCTTATTAATTTTCTTTAAGCAGTTTTAACTTATTTAGTCACTTTCAGCCTTTGTCATATTTGATGCGCCTTTGAATACTCCCATTGCCCGAAGTTGCTCATTCATCTTTTAAATCACTTTTACTTTCATTGACTCGAATTCCTATTAAGGCTGCTTAAAGAAAGTATTGATGATTGTTCCCTCATATTTGTGTGGAAGGAAAGGGAACTTAGGTTTGTCTTAAGTCAATGTTCTCAACCCCTCCATCCTTCTTAAAGTCTCAGGATCATGTTATGGAGGTTTAATTTGAGAAATGGAAGAAGCAGAAATTTAGCTTGAAATATCTCTATCCTCCTCTTCATCTATCTCTTCTTGGATTTGATCAAGTTATTTTTGCCTCACAGACTTAGGGCGCTTTCCTTTTTTCTTTTTTTCTGCTGAATTCGATCTCTCTTTGTTCTTTTCATTGGGAGAGTCTAGCTTAGATTTAATAGGATTATCTTCTTTTTTATCTGGAGATGTTTTCAATGCACTGTGGTCTTTTTATATCAAGTCAGAAAGGTCATCATCTTCATCTAAATCCTTCTTTTTTTCTGGAGTATGGTGTTTTTCCTTTTATTCCTCTTTTTCACTATCCGAATCTTTATGCTTATCCTTTTTATCCTTTTTATCCTTCTTCTCTTTTTTTTCTTTCTTATCTTTTTTATCTTTTTTATCCTTTTTGTCCTTCTTATCTTTCTTGTCTTTTTTCTTTTCTTTTACAGGAGATGGTATATATTCAATCTCTTTTACAATTGGTATATCATCTTCATCATCTTCAAAAATACCTGCTCTACTTTGCTTTCCTCCTACAACCTTCTTAGGTTAGGCGTTCTTAGATGCATCATATTTAATCTCAAATTTTTCGAATATCAATCCTGTTCCTTTATCAATCTCAGCGCTTTCATCAAGCAGCTTTTTTTCTTCCTGTTATTTCTTTTTCTCTTATTCTTTTCTTAATGCCTTTTCTTATTTCTCTTTTTCTTTCTCTTCTTTCTTTTTCTTTTTTCTCTCCTCCTCTTATCCTCTCAATATCTCTTGCTCTTTTAATTATTCTTCTTGTTTTCTTATAAGTTCTTGAATCTTTATTTACTCTTCCTCTCTTGCCTTCTTTATCTCCTCTAAGTATTATTGCTATTCTTGAGATATCTGCTGTATTAGAGGCTAAACCTATTCTTTTGACTATTATGCTGCTTCAACTTATACTTACTCTTTCTGCTGTAATATCTCCTGGTTCTAAGCTTATTATTTAGCAAGATTTTCTTTTTCTGCTTCCTAGGCTTTTTTCAGTTCATCTTCATACTGTCTCTTAGCCTCTTCCATTCTTTCCTCTTTTTCTTTGAGCTCTTGCTATAGTTTTTTGAATTTTTCCTCAAACATCATTGTCATTTCTCTCTCCACTTAGGCCTGTATATCTTCCTTGAGTTTGAGTTCTTTTTCAAATTTATCATCTTCTTCATCTTCTTTCTTCTCCTCTATTTCAATGTAATTATTTATTTATTTCTCTACATCTTGAATAAGCTTTTTTTCTTAAGATGCTATCTGAGTTACTACTTCACGTTTAAATTCCTCGATCATAACTTCATAAGTCTTAATAGTCTCCTAAACATCATCTGTATGCTATTAAGCTACTTCTTTATTTGTCAAAATGAGCTCTTAAACCTCCTCGAGCTTTGAAGTTTTCTTTAGACTAGTGAGCTCTTATTCAATCTTTAGAAAATCAGTTTGAAATTTATCAACAACTTCTTCCTTCAGCTTGACAATAAAATCTTCCTCATCAAATCTGTCTTGATCCACTCTTGATTTTAAGTTATTAAGTAGCATCTAATTTTCCTTATCTCTCACTTCCTCCTCATAATATTCTCGGTGTCTCTTTTTATAGTGGGAAGTGAGATAGTCGCTATTTGCAAAGTATTTAAAACATAGTTGGCATCTAAACACCTCTGTTGTTGCTGACTTTGCAGGATTTTATAGTAATTTTTCATATGTTTTGATTGTTTATTTCCTCTATTTCACTTTAGACTTAAGCTCATTAATTTTCATTTGATTTTCCTTTACTTATCCTTCTAGTTACAAAGCATTGGCATAATTGGATTGATATTCTCTCTCGATTCCTTGTGAAAATCCTGATGCATATTTCTATAACTATTTATTTCAAATTATCACATACCTAGGTATAGAGCAAGTATTCAACAGTCAGCTAACCAAGTTTGAACAGTTTAATTATATTCTTATCTTTGAATTTTTTTAAATCCTCCTTTTCTATTTTAGCGTAAGTCAAATTTTGAAGCAATAATTCTAATTTTGAAATATCCACTGAGTTAATCATATTATCTAGATCAATATCTTATATTGCATACCAATCTAGTTTTCCCACTCTGTTTGCAAAAGTAAATAGTGGCGGAGGACTTTGAAAATATGATTATTGCTATTGAATGTGAGTTAGTGTATGAAATTACGAATGATGTTCCGATTGGGAGTTGTTGATTGTTTACAGCCCTTGTGTAATCCATTACAGCTAAATTAATTAATTCAAATTTAAATTGATTTTAATCACGTTTATTTGCTGCTAATACATTTGATAATTCCTGTGGGGTTTTGGGGTTTTGGGG